TGAAAATGAATTGTTTCTATCTAATAAAAAAAGAAAATGCTCAAAGATGTTGTTGAGACATTATTTTTCTTAAGTCAGATTCCATCAATGGGGATTCTTCCGAGAAGACCATTTTCCCAAAGAGTCTTGAAGCATTTCCATAATGGTTTCCCAGTTTGATTTAGAAACATTTTACTAAACTATTTTTGCTCTAACCTGAAATATTAAGATTTTCATCCTCTTTTCAAGCTTTTGGCTTTTGGTTTGATCTGAAGGAAGGTATCTGACAAAAGAAGGCAACAGAAAACTGTCTGTAATTATTCTCCCTTCCTACCACCCCCTCCCACCTTTTAAATTCAACAATGGTCAAATAATCAACTATTCCACTTAGGTAGATTTTAGCCTCTAGAAGCAATGCCAATGTTTTGTGTTCATTCTGATGAAAACGCAATAGAATACCTTTGGAGTGCACAACGCCTCCAAAGCTGATAGAAGGAAACCCATGCTCTCTCGAGCAGTCTGGAAGGAGCAGCCTTACAACTGGTCACTTAGGAAGCAAATTGGGTTATAATCGCAGATACCTCTCAGCCAATCAGCGATCAATAGTCGCTGCATCGTTATCTTAATTTTATTTCAATGACCAGAACTTGCGCTAGTGTCACGCAGCCAGAGTAAACACTAGTCACATCGCAAATCCTGTTTCCTCGACATTGTTGAGAGAGCTTGGCTAATTTCGGGAGCAATTATATACTTGGGTATTTTTTGCCATTACTTATTTGTGGAGTATCAGCTGTAAACATTCCTAAGTTCTTTTCTTACTTTATTGGAGTAAAAATAAGGATAAATAATAATCAATTCAACTAATTGAGATACTGATTTACGGCTGAGGAACCCTTCAAAGTTCTAATGTGAAATAAATTGTTGCTGAGGTGAGGCACATCAAAGCAAACTTTAATCAGGAAATGAAGATAGTGCTACTGGGGATCTAATGCAATTGGATTCTTGGAAATCATTGACTTTCACTATAAGACAAAGTCATTAGGTTTCCAGTTATATCCATAATAGCATCTGGAGAAAACCATTTCAAAACTTGAGTAGAGGAAATATCTTGAAGAAACGTGCTGAGAACTTTGGTCCATGGGATTCAGGATGATGTCTATCTCCTACCCAACTAGGGGATAATATGGCGCTGTGTTTTGAACCATTTTTGAAAAATATCACGCCGAATTTTTGACGTTAACACACAGAATGACGTTCTGATGTACTACATTTCAATCACCCTGGTCTCTAAAAGGACTCAATGCATTCGTAAAGCAGGTATCGGAAATGGCTGTTAACCACTGAGTATGAGGAAAGGTGAACCTGTAGACGGAGCATTGCAGTTTGCATTCTCACTCTAGAGCCTTGAAATAATTGCTGTTATTAAAATTGTTTTCTCTCTTTTAGTCTCCCAAACCACGCACAAAATTTCTCGAATTTAAGCTTGTATTAAGTATTATTACTTAAGATTCTGCCGCGTAACGACCCATCATTTTGAGAAATTTAAAATGGTTCTTATAAGCTGCAAATAATCTTAAGATTTGCGGTTTAAATTCTTAAGGATAAATTGTGTTCCTTTTATTTCACACAAACAGTCTTTACCCTTGCCATAATCTAGTTAAACAACTGTTTATAAATGAAAAAAACACTATCGCTTCATATCTATTTTAATCAAACTCTTGCCTAAATTTCTGTGATTTAAGGTAGATGCAATTTTCATAAGTGATCAGAGTAAGCTGTAGAGATTATTTTAGTTTATTCTGTGGATTTTTACATTGTATATGAAGTATTGGAAGCAAAATTTTGAAGCGACTATGAAATGACCGTTTTATTATCGATTTCGTTCTCAAGAAAAATACCGGCAAATTTTGCTGCTTGCACAATTCCGCAGGTGTGATTCACATGACAGAAGCTGTCTTTAGCGCCACAGGAAGAGAAATTTTATGTGAAATAATGAAAGTCAGATATGATCCCACTTTGTGCAACCACCTGTCCATATATGGCACAATTGAGCGTGAAGAGTTCACATTGAGTGAAACCAAGTGATTTCTATTATGTTGAATTACCTTTGCCTATCTCACCTACAAATTTGCATCTGTCAAAATGGCGTGAATTATTCAAATTAAAAGAATAAAGGCATTCAATTAAGTAAAGTGGTCAAGAAACCCTAAATTTCTATGATGTAAAATTGTCCCAAAATAGCGTTGACTGTATCCTTAAAATCTAGTTTATCAATAGGCAGAGTTTAAATAAATTTTACTTCATCAAACTCAAATAACTCAAGCTTTTTAGCTCTCTAACTTGATTTTGCATTCTTTAATCAACCCTTCATCTCATGATCAAAATTTCAAACGATTTTTTTATTACGAGAAATAATAATTTTTCATCAAATGCGCTCACAGAATAAATTAAAAGCAGTTTAAGAATAATATGTAAAATTTATCTCACGTCATTTCAACATTATTTCAGCCCACTATGTTTTAATGAATAGGATTGAAATTGAATTGGCTTCTTAATCGAATGATATTTCGAAATTTTCCTTGAAGTTTTCACTTTCACTCGGTTCACATACCAACAAACTACCGTCCAGATTTCACTTCAAAATTTGATGGCCTCTATGACCCAACTATCTAGGGAACCTTTGATCTCAGTATGATACCAAACATGTAGAGTGTATTGTTATTCCTACAAAATCTATCATTATACTAATTGGCAAGTAGATCACCCAAATAATCTTTTTACTAAATGATGTGTCTTAAAATTTGTTACTTAATAAAGTTTAAAATATTGCGATAGTAAAAATATGTCGATAGTTTTGCCAAATTACTTTGTTTTACAATTATTAAATTACTTGTGGTAAAACCTTTGTAAAGAAAACGAGTCAATAAAGTTAGAATTGATTGTGACCTTGGCTTGCCAAACTAATTCTCCTCCTTGTCTTCTAGATGGTCTTGAACATGTATGCTTTAATTTGGACTGTCTTGTCCAGGGTCTTTTTCTGCCTGGACATCACGGTAAGTGGAATGCTCTATCATCGTCCCCTTACAAGTTGGTTTCCTCTCAACTTAAGTGAAGATGAAGTTTCGAAAAATGTGCTATCCAACTGTCAGCTTAAATCGAATAAGGAATAAAATGGTGTCCATGATGCGATGACATCGAAATTTTCCCATTTATTGTACAAAAAGATGGGAACAAAATTTCTTTACCAATGTTAACCTTAATTCATGCATTGGAATAAAAAATTCATTAATTTTTATAAAAAATGTTCAAAAATATCATATATTGCACATTTTCTAAATCAATACCCCAACTTAACCCTATAATCTTATTACTGATTTATTTTAAATTAACACTTTTTATAAGTTCATGTAAACAAGGTAAGTGAAAAGTGTTTACAATTATCATCACCCACTTTGGATCAACTTTTGACCATCGAATGCCAAGAGGTTTTAACGCTCCTTCCATGTCAGTTAAGATTAATGCCGAATAGATTACATCCAAATCGTCATGCTCTTTCGCCTTCCAAAATACTAAGATCGCTCGTTAATGATGAACAAAGAACATTGGAAAGCTAGAGGTAATCAGTATTTGATGCTAATTTCAATATCACGAGCATCCATATCAACCCCATACACCTATTTGTGCTTTCTCACATTGGTTTAAGAGTTCTGGAAACCGCAATATTGGCGAGGCGAGTGATTGTACCAACAATAAAGTACTGTGCTCTTCGTGATCTAGATTAATGACAGGCGCTCGGAATATGAGCGTATGCCGGACACACCCCAGTTATATTTAGATAATACTTGGATTTTAAGTTTGCAAATTCTACGAATATTGAAATTAGTACTTTCTTTTGAGAAAGCACTGTTTGATATTCATCTAGAATAATGAAGCCATAGTGGTGAGCAAATCGAATGATTCCACTTTACGAAGGGACCGGATTTTGAAAGAAGCACTCCACACCTACGTCGGTAGATGTGCACTTATTTACACTGACCTTACGTCTTCTGCATTACTTCTTATCTAACGCACTTCCAATCGATGGAGTCTAGCTTAGGACGTATGCACATCTTCACAACATTACCAGGGGCAGAGGATTCCAGCCAATACGGCAAGATGGCCCACACCTCGTAATCATCCTTAGAGACGTCTAATATATATGTCTTATGGCCCTTACTACCATCTCTGTAAGAGTTTCCGTAATGAAGACAAGTTGAGACCGCTTTTCGTACAATACCCTCATTGACTTCAGTTTAAACTCAATCATCCTTTTACCAAATGCTAATTGTTAGCTTACTTCCTTCTCCATCATTCCTCATTTTCTGGTCTCTACATAACTCTTGATCCTCTAAATTTTTGAAATTTTATCGTTTCTTTTAATTTCAATCGGTAAGAGAGGTTATTAGGCTTTCATTAGCTAAACTATTCTTGACTCCCTACTCCAAGGACTAAAATCCGATCAATTACAGTTCACATTTAATTAGATTTTAGCACCAACACAGCCAACTAACAACTCAACCTGCGAATGCTTTAATTTAAGCCAAAGAAATTGGATGCGTACAATTCGTTTCATTTCTCCCATATTCCGATATTATTTCTTTACAACATCAGGACACCTTTCTGTTTTCCCTTTATTTTGCCACAAACTAAGAACAAATTCACATCTTAGTAACTTCAAAGTGTTTAGATCTTAAGAAAATCTACAAGAAAGATTTTTTGAGTTAAAGCTTTCCAGTATTTATTCAGCTCTGTGCAATGAAAGTACAAGATAAAACAGGAACATTTCGAAACGATAAAATGAGGCAAGGTCGCCGAATAGGCTACCTTACAGCGAAAATTTTCACACGAAAGGGTGCATAGAGGGGGAATGAACGAAAGTATGAGGGTTTCCAGTTCTCAGCAAGAAGTAATATCACAATGACGAAACAGGGAGGGACTTTGTACAGGAGATCGCACATAGTGAAGTGATTACTAAAATCCGACTAAGTAGTAGGACGAATGCTTTGCCAGTGTGTACGTCGGCTACCAATAATCGCGAACGCGGACCAAGTCGGTGTGGCTTGGAATACTTGCGAAATGCCAGTTAAGTGTTCTGCTAGGAAGTTGCCAGGTTGTTCGAGCAATCGACGCAGGACATCTGGGGCTCCTTGACAAGTTGCCAAAATGGTCAGAGGAAATTGTCGTATTACCCAGGGAGAGATTAGTGTTGTTCCGGCCAATAGAACAGGTACTCCTAGGGGATGATTCAGAATGGCCTCTTGGACTGATGCTGTTAATTGTTGAAGATTTCTGTCGGGATGATCTGAAGGAGCAAAAGAATTAAGCCATAAACCCAGCACAGGCAAATCCCCTCTTTAAGTAGGGATGAAAAAGAAGTGAAACAGGAAATTAAATCAAATGATGCAATCATTATTGGGTGATTCATATGAAAATTTCGATTCTTTTACGAAAATACAAAGCATGATATTTACCAAAATCGTTAAGTGTGTTTTAATCAAACAAACGGTCCTATTTCAAACAACTAGAGTTAATGACATTTTGAAGGACTTCACATAACTAGAAAGCGTGTCTAAAAATAGTGAGTGTACCCCTGAATTCAAACAAAAGAGAAAAATACCCATTGCTGTTTGAAACTTCAAATCATTCTATTCTCTGACCGACCTTGTAGGTAATCACAGTGATTTAATAAGAACCTATTAGAGTCACTAAGTAGTCGAGCAAATCACGATTTAAAGAATTGTATATCTGAGAAGCGATTTAAAATAATTATTGGTCTCGATAAAATCACATGCTGTGTTCAAACATGAAACAAGGAAACTGGATTAGAAAATTGCAAGGATCGGCTTATATCCGCACAAAAGCGCCAAGGAATGCAGGAAATCTACTCAAATCAAACAAGTTATATTAGTTTTCCATGGTTCTTGCTAATTTTTAAATAAATGGGTAGGACTCGAACATGGCCAAATACCATTAATGGAAATGTATAATGAATTACATGCATTATAAAAGGCTAACGAAAGGAATAGTCTGGTAAAAGAATTAGAAATAGATAAGACCCAACCCTTCGATTCCTAGCGGAATAGAAGCAGCTTGAAAATATCCCAATCTACTTCCTTCTATTTTTCGGAATACCAGATAAAGGGAAGAAACCCGTCCTTAAGTTTGATAACTATTTTACTACCTTGTGAAGACTAGAGTATTGAAATTGAAATACTATGTCTTCTTGTGCGTCTTAAAGAAATACTGCAACAAAAAAGAATCCCGGAACTGCCCGCATAATTATTGTTATTTTTGTTTTCAGTCAATTGTGTATTGCCAGAAATATTCTTCGACTAAGAGAAAAGTTATTAGAAAGGTGTAGGTGCCTTTCATTGCATCAGTGAACATTGCAATAGGGAAATTAGCCGAATTGTAACTGGGAATTATTAGCCATTTAGAGGGAATAAGTCAATCAAAAATAAATGATAAATATGGAAATAAATAAGCATCATTAACAAAAATGTAAACCTCTGACAACAAGAGAATAAATTCGATGACACTGCGTAGTAAGAAACGAAACATTTCATTCAATTTCCTTTTGTTTGCATGAATAGGAATCGCTCTTTTGTTGAATTACGTCTAAAGCTTTAAATTTAGCATGCATTTGCAGACGCCCTTTTACAAAAATGGCCCTACATTCAGAAAAAATACAGTGTTCATATCACATCATAAATCCATAGCAATAATATGTTGCTTGGAAAATACTGTAGGGCGTTAACCTCAAGTGGTGGAAAATTGGTTTAATTGGGTGATGTTCAAAGAGGTTAGTCATTAATGAAATGTAATAAGCATGCTCTTATGTATTGCTTAATTAAAAATGCGTGCTCACAAACGGGTAACAACATTCATCTGCCTTTCAAGCTCAAGGAAACACCTTAACAAAAGAGATTCACAAGTCTTCTTGAGGCGGTCAATTTCACTTTTCACATTCTGATCTCTTACTCTTTGAAAACACGCCTCTAATCTTGCAACTACTGAAAGAGGCTTTGGACAGTTCAGGGATAGGGAATTTTCCATTTCATAGCAACAGTCAACAAACTGAAACAAGGAGCACTAATAGCATATCACAACAGATATAGGACAAGTATAGATAATCCAACTTTCAAGCTCATGAAAAACTCAATTGAAACAAGACTTAAAAGTGTCAGGTAAGTAAGAGAGAACCGGAGCAAGTAGTAGAAAGGTAACCAATAAACTTAAGCTGTGTTTTTAGCGGTTGAGGCCGGCACAACCCCGAAAATATGAGATAAAGTGAGAAAATCGACAAAGAATTCAGTGATAAAGAAAGGGAAACCAGATAAGCGGATTGAGATAAAAGCCAAATGTGGGGGAGGAATAAGACCAGTAAAGCTTTCCTATTTCTAATAAGTTAATTAACAATAAAGAATAATGGCATAAAAATGATTAAATCTTATTATTATTGAGACATAAAAGTTGATTTCATATTTATTCCACCTAATTAGCATGATGGAGCCTGAATTTTTATATGTACTTGGGGTCAAGTTTATGCCAAGGTGGGAGACTTCCGATCCCGCGTGAAACCTGCTGAAAATATAGGCCTACTTTTGTCTTAAAATTGGTTCAATTGAAAAAGCGGATTTTATAACGGAAAGAATAGGTATAGAAATCCAATAGAAACTTCACTAATCTACCAATTATGGGGATTAATATTTAGCAAATCTTATTGTACTAGGAGGTAAGAACACCTGGGATCTGGAATGGGTGAAATAAATTAGACACCTACCACTGAAAACATGGGAAAGCCCTCAAATGAGACATTTAACATACGAACAAGCGTGAAAAATTGCTAATTGGACGTAGTTTAAGATTAAGGAGAGAAATACATAACTAATTTGCAAGAATGGAATTAAACTGAACTTTTAAAGTAAGGTGATGACAATACCAAAATATGCTAGGAGTACTTTAAAAGTTTGTTACAATCAAACCTAAATAAAAATAATAACCACGAAGGGTTTTAAATGATAAAGGAAAAAAGGCTGAATTAATTTTCTGAAAACCTCGTGACTGTTTAACCTGTATTCATTCACCCACATTGCCCTAAAATGGATATGACAGCATTGCGTTTCAAAACCTAGGACTTAGGTCCCTATTCAGACTTTCTTGTTAAGACCGTAGTTTATGGATACGAATAAACGCATGACTTCACTTATGGAAGCTGGCAATCCAGGTTTTGTCATAGAAACCACCTTCAAATATTTCTTACTAAGAAGTCCCTTAGGGTGAGGAGATACCAATTACAGGTTCACATTTAGTTCTCGGTTCGAAGGCTCCAAATATCACTCCCTTTTTTTACTCGATCTGCGTCTTTGTTTATGTAGATTAAGCAAAAAATTTCGCTTCCTTGGCATGCATAATGCGACCGAGTGCAGAACACCCTTCCCATTCGGAGAGTCCAATAATAACTTCTTCTCTCCTAACCCTACTTACATCAAAATCAGCCGAAGTGTATGAAAGTCCCAAGGGAATTAGGAGTTTTATTGCCAATAAAACAGTTATAAAGCCAACTAAAAGGCACGATTATTTTTACCCTATCAGAATTTACAAAAGCAGGAGCAAGTCATTACAATCTGTCAACAAACATATATCGATAATAAGTAAAAATTAGATGAAATTTCAGTTTATTTATGGCAGCTTAGTTAAGGTCCCCAAAGCAATATTTCGTAGATAATATGGGATTGCTTTTGTGAATTTCAGTTCCGAAATGCAAGTCTTCTCCATTTTATGCTTGTCTTAAAATTCCAGGACAATCGGTTATAGCAAGTGACTATTAAAAGTGTTGGTGGATGCTTAAGAGGTACGTGTTCTTTTAATTGAGGAATTCCAATTATGTGTGTAAGCAGAGTGAAGTTAAGTTTGAGGATGATAAAGCACATGCACAACTTACTAGGTCTTATTAGGGGGATTGAGTAGTCGTAGATAGTGCTGATATACCGAGGAATATACGCAGTACCTAGATGAGGAAAGAAGGAAAAAGAAAGATTAAAGGAGGGTATAAATCGGTGGGTGAAGTTTCAAATTAACTATCAGCTGATCGACATTTAAAGTACTGCAGGCATATAAGGAATGCACTTGTGAATGCCCTCATTTTAAACTCGATGATCTATAAAAACAGCAAAATTGGAATGATGAAATCCACATCTATGCTTTTTAGGAAACTTCAATTATGAATTAATATCGCGAGCTACCTTGACTTCAAAGATCTGAATGTTTTACTTCACTGATGGCATTATAGTTGCAATAAAATTGATTTAAAAAGTGTAAATTAACCTCAAATCCACCACCTAAGTAATACCGACTATTAAAATTGCCGAATCCCTAAAATGAACTGAATTAAATGGAGGGTATTTTGGAAACACTCTGATGCGGAACTCGCTTTCTATTTCCACTCATTTTAACTAATAAAATAGGCCACACGCATCAATGCATATGCAAAGAAGTATTTAGAATGATCTTTAATAAGGTAATCAATCTTCTCAATAACTCAGTATACACTTGATGAGTTATCTTGCAATTCTTAAGTCCACTTAGAAACGCAAGTTCCAACGCTTGTCTAAGATAATGACGGTATAGAGAGACAGCCTTTTCATTTTCCGCTCTTAACCATTGTGGTCCACCATTCCGATTAACATGTGTACGTTGATGGGAACCTCTGTAATGACAGACGAGCAGAGTGATGAACGCACTGTCGATGCACGGACAGTTTCATAATCATTATCACAGGGATTCCCTTAATTGTCCAACTCTATCTTGCATAGATAATTACAAATTAAAAGAGAATTATTCTGAGCACTGCATTTATGAAAAAGGGAGTTTTTAGAGTTTTTATTATCAATTATGCCATTGCTTTAGGTTAAAAATCGATAAAGGCGGATAATAATTAACGTCCTAGTCATTAACCGAAAGTTTGCATTTTTAATAAATCTACTACTTAGAATCACATTGCTCTCTATTTCATTTACTTTTTTCAGTTAAGAAATATTCGCAAGCATTATATTTGGTCAATAGAATCATGCTGAATTGGGCCTTAACGACAATGAAGAGCTAACATTTACCGTTTCCATGGTGACATTTAATATATAAATTAGTGGCAACTTACTCAAATTAATAAGGGCAACGGAGACTTGAGGAATAGTTTTCCAAAGAAGACTAAGCGATCTTGGTTCGATTTCGGAATTGAGCTGGATATCCTCAGTGGTGGATTCGATCGCCTGGAATTGGGAAGAGAGGCATTTGTAATTGAATAAGGAAAAGCACAAGTATTTGCTTTCACGAAGAGTCAGGTGAGAGGAGAAAATGAACTAAATTTAGCTCCTAAGTGTCATTCGCTCCAGTACATTCGTCATGGACAGTTGGGAGAAATATTTTACTTCGTTTTGAAATTACTCTTCCTTTCACAGAAATGCTATTTTCTCTGGAGCTTGCATAATTAGCTAAACACCGTGCGATTAAATACGTAAATATGTCCGATTTAAAAAGTGAATAAGGTTAAGCATCAAAATAAGCAATTAACTATCAACCAGTTCAGTATCATCATACTAAAAAAGATGACTACCATATTTGGAATGAAGAAGAAAGCGCAACTAAACACCATGGAATTCAAAGCTTTTACTGATAATTATTTTATGTAAAGGCCTAATTGCGCAACTGTGTCAGCTGCTATCATGCCTAGCCTATCAATTATCTACCTCACAAAAGCAGCCATATGACTCATTCCTCGGCCCTTAAGCACTTTATTGATTTCTACCTCTACTTAATATCTGTTTTGAGAGCTACTCTCACACTTGGTATTACTTTCGTCTCAGAATATCGCAGAAAACAGATAATATTTTGAATAATTAATCAAATGGGAGGAGTGTTAAGTAATTTACTTCAGTGAATAGTGTATAAAATATTGATTTAAGCATTGTTAATCAAATTGACTAAGTTCAAACAAGCCATGAGTTATTAATTTATTCAAAACAAAGATATAAATTATAGACAACTTACTTGCTTAAGATTCGGTTGATTACACTCCATCGATTTTCCGAATTTCCGATGGGGACCATACGTTAGAACTGCGCTTTGGACAATTTTTAGCGTATCAGGAGAACAACTTCTCAACATGTCGCGGACGATTTCATAAGCTTCCTTATCACACAGTTCCGGAGTATTCGGTTTTTCGACTTCAAAGTTGTATCGATTGTTTGTAGAAGAATTTATTTCCTCCTCGACCTTTTGCTCCTTTTCAAGACGTTGTTCCCAAATGCTCTCTTCAGAAGATCGGCGGCTTAATGGAGTAAGAGATTTTGAACTTTTATCGATTAATCCATCTGTTTCAGCAGTTTCACTTCGACGAATAGGATCATGATTCTTTTCTTCTAAATCTTTTCCTTTCAGTAGCTTTTCATCATTTTTCTCGAAAAGGACAGCAAATATAGGTACTTCTTGAATAGGCTGAATATCAATGGCTTCTGGTATTCTCTCATGTTCCATCTGTGCTTGATTCATAGGCAAAATTTCTTCATTCATATCTAGTACCGCAGCTAAAGGAGGTACTTCTTGAATCGTAGTGATGATGGGTTGAATAAAAGAAATTTCCTTAACTTCTGTCTTCGTTTCTAATTCATTTTGAGATTTGTTCACCGGTAGAATTTCTTCATTTAAATCTTGTGGTGGCATAGACACAAGCCTTTCTTGAACTAGTGCGATTGGCGTAAGCACATCATCGAAAAGTGGTACTTTCTGATGAACATGCGGAGTTATTTCAATTGTTTCTTGATTCACTAACTCAGATATTCGTTCAGAGTTATCCAAATCTTGGTCGATTTCGTCGGTTACAAATGCGGGTGTAGACGCTGTGCTTTTTCGAAGCGTACTAACTGCAGAATGAATTCCAGAATCCGTCGCATTTTCCATTATTGGCATTTCATTTAGAGTATGCATCTCTTGGTGTGGTTCTTCGTTGGATATTGAGTGATCACCGGTTATTACTGCTGCAAAGACTATTCCTTTTTGAACCTGACTTATATTGCATGTATCGTTTGTCTTGGGAACTTCTGACTGAGAGATAAGGTCCTCTTTGTAAAGAGAAGAATGCCCAAAGGATGTAGTATCCGTACCGCAAATTGAATGAAGGCCTGAATCTTTAGATACTTCGAAAGATCTTGAGGCATTTCGACTCATATGTGGAAGGGTTTCGGTAGTATAGTTTTTATAATCAGCCTCTACCATTTTCAAAATGGGTTGATCACCAACTGTCGATTCACGTTTCAGGTTCGACAAAGAATTAGCCGCCGATTCGTTCTCTCTCATCGTCATTTCTTCAAACTCTGATGAATTATTTCGACTTAGTTGAGAAGTTGATTTATTTAGAAATAGTTCATCAATCTGAAAGTCAGTTGACTCATAGGGACTAGTTCCACCAGGTGTATTCACAGGTGTTTCAAGGGAATTCTCTGGTGTAAAGACTTTTTCTGCTATTTCTGAGTTTAAGTTTGAAGATAAGCTGTAATTTCTTTCCAACGTTTGATTCTCATTTGCATAATCAATTTCTTGACTTACATCCAGTTTTACGTCATTAACTTCGGTTGGATGATTTGACGAATCAATTAGAGATGCATTATGTTCGTCCATTGACAAGGTATGCCCTTCGTAGATCACAGTTTCGGCACACGAAAATATTGATTGATGAGCACAAGAGTCAACGCCATCAATCGATCTCATTGGATTTTGAATATCAAGAGGTACCGTTTGTTGGATAGAATCCGCTTTATTCTGAATGACGAAATCCGCATTGTCGACCACAGTTGCTTCAGTAGAATTGAGTCTATGCTTATCAGAAATGTCAGAAGTAACCTCTGGGGGAGTTCTTTGATCATATCGAGATATTTGAGGCTTAATAGCGTGCTCAAGGCTCTCCTCTTGCGCTTGAAGGATAAAATCATTAGGTAGCTTTTGGAAAAATTCCACGGAAACTGCAGAATCTCCTGCTGAAACAGTCGATGCTTCTGAATCTGGGTTAGTTATTCGTTTGTTTAATCGGGATTCAGTTTTCACGGGCGTTATTTCTTTCTCCATGGGCATTGAATTCTTTAGAGGAGGAATACCTGGTTTTATGAAAGGACTACTTTCACACATTCCAGATTTATCTGAAAGAATTGTCGTATCAGCCAAATTTTCCTCATCTGCAAATTTCAACGAATATTCCAGATCATTTTCACGCTGTGCCTCTATGCTATGATATGAAGAAATATAATGACTAGATTTTAGATTTCTGGATTGCGTCCAAGCAGAAAACTGCCCGTCAAGATAAGGTGGTGAGGAGATAGATAAGAAAGATTGGGGAGAAGCAATTGCAGCCTGTTGAAGATCGTGATGTAGGTGCAGACTTGGATTGGAGGTGCTGACTTCTGAAGATCCGAGGCTATAGTTACTTGCTATTCCTGAGTCCCACCTTGTTCTCGTTCGATTACCACTGGTCAACGTGTTTGTCTTTCGTTTAGTTGGTGATGTTGACATGGTAACATATGGGATAAGCCTTTCAACAGGACTTTCGTCTTCAACCTGAACTTGCAGGCACCGTCCATGTAGAGCATTAGTTTCAATTTTTGTCAGGTCGCTTTCTGGAGAGAAAGATTTGATGACTTTGGGAGTTTTTTGTTTTCCTCCTTCCTTCTGTTTTCCCTTAGGAAATCTGAGACCGGAGAGGATGCATAAAAGATCAGACTTCGATTTGTTTGATAACACCGAATCAGAATTTCGTCTTTGTTTCTCTTTCGGTTTCTTAGAAGTGGATGATGATTTCTTTTTAGAATGCTTCGTGTAGAAACACATGTTATCTGCTGAGAATGACCGATAAATGGAATATCTAACCTCTAATTGACGAAAAGGTGACCACTGGGTTACGGAAGACAAGGAGCGAGGAGGGAAGAAAAGACGTCTTGAGTTTCCTTGTTCAGACAATTGAATGAACTTTGGTTTAGAGAGTTTGTTATGCATAGCCCTTTTAGTTTTAATTGGTCCAACAATATGCGAAGCTGATTGGCAAAGAGGAAATGTTGGTGAGGTTACAGCGTCTTCATTGGTTGACGCTTTGGAAATTTTTATTGGTTGAAGCTCTGTCAGTTGTCTTGATCTTACTTGTTCTGGAGTTAGTGGGACTTGAGCTATAAAAGTAAAACAGTTTAAATTGAATTTAAATTCAAATAAAATGCAGATGAAATGGTAAATATAACGTTGTTTCTTTTCGAGTTGGTACTTTAGCCAAAAGAAACGGAACATAGGGTGTTTGTTAAAATGAAGATAATGAATGATTAGAATGATTACATTTTGTTGTAAAATTATATTCATTAACTTGACATACTATTTTCCCTTTAAATTAAGGTACGTTGAGATACACTATGTAAGGAGTCTACCAGGAAGTAATCTTGCCCTTATCGAAGCAAGTGTTATTCTGCTGGCGAAAAGATTTCTCTTTATCATACAGTTTTTGCTGATTGTGTATTCCAATTTACCCACAAGTATATTTTTATCAAAGAAGAGTTATTTAAAAATCAAAGGTTCTATGTGAGATAAGTAGTAAGCCATTCCGCTTAATTTTGATTATGATAGTGCTGGTAAGACTTCAATAAAATAAGGTTTTATGCTGATATGCTTTCAATTAAGTCTCTCACTCTATTTCAAATTGTAGCTAGCACCCATTAATTAGGTCGATGATTAGATGAGCAGTATTTGATGAAATTTGAATTTATCAAGGACAATTGTGAGAATTCTTATATGTTAATATGGTTAAAACGCGGATGAATCAGCTTATAATTTACTTGTAATCGTTAAATATTTGATGAAGGGATTTGGTGTTGTTGATTTCGGGGATAGAAGAATCGGAGCTAAAATTTAAATAATGAAAAATAAAATTATATACCATCTGAAGGAACGAATAATCGCTAGTTCATTACTCCTTTTTTCTAATTGAAAAAATATGCCAAAAATTTTATATAAGCCTTAATAATTTGAGTTATATGGTGATGAATTTGTCAAAAATGAATGCTATTGTAATTTTACTGAATTCCGAGTGATTCCTCTTTACACGAACCAATATTTGGCATTCCTTAACCACCCATCACTATGAATTATTAATTAAAACGCCAAGTAAAATCTGAATGAATGTTAAAATAAAAGAAACTTCCAAACGTCATATTGAAAACTTGATTAAAGTCCTGAGTATAATTAATTCAATTTAAGTATCATAAGATAATTGCTCTGCTTTAAATATTGGGAGCAATTACATTATTTATAATCCCGTGGGAAAATCCTGGCTTAAATTTCAAAAAGAACTGTTACATATTTTTTTTCCAGTAACTTGCCTGACAAATGCTATTTTTTGAGCTACATTTTTGAACGAACACCTGATACTTACCATATAAGTTAGATCATTACCTAACTTTTACAAATGATTGTCTATAATCAGAAGGAAATAACTGAGATGCTCATAAATTTCAACATGGTTCCGCTTCATCTTAGTGATCAAATAAATTGAGGCATTTTATAATCGATAGTTTTTCTGGTTAATCAATAATTACCAAAGAGTGTGAATTATCAGTTATCGCTTACAATGGGCTTTCATTAAAATGTTAGACTTAGTCACAAAATTGCATGCGCATTAATGATTTACTGCTCATTGAAAAGAATCATTTAATAATTATTTATGCTTAATCAATTGGAAGAATGAGTATTGCTTTGGCAAATTATACACATTACATTTATTGTTGAGTTATTTAGTACAATTTCTAGGCCTTTCTTCAAACGTATTAATGTCAGTTTTAAATGGCACGCTTAACGGTACGTAAACACCCGATAAAAAGTTATTGAGTATAGGTTTATTCAACTAATGCTTCGCCAAATTCTTAAACAAAATGATACCCTAAACCAGCAAATCCATTGAAGAGGCATTTGATTAATTTGAAATCCATCCGATTATAAATATTCTAACTTTCAAAAACGAATTTTGATGGGAAGATGCATGCTAGAAAGAAATTGACAACCATTATGCGTAGTGTTCTGTTGCCAAATACTAACGTTTTGAAGCGTTTGATCTGTTCATTATGAAGTGACAAAGGCGTGTGCGATAGACTTACCTCCACGTGGTGCACCCTGGGTAACGTATACTCATACGGTAAAAATGTCTATCAGTCGGTAGTTGACTTCTGACTTCAAACTACCATCACTCCACTGTATGTCATATTCGACTACTTCCATAGCACTCACCTCACCTTTTTCACTCTACCTTTGTGTGTATCTCTTTTACATCTTTAATACACTCTTCTATTCCCCCCCCCCCCCCCCCCCAACCAACTTTCTCCACTTTGATGTTCCTTCCCCTTTGTGATGCCTGAAGGCAACTAAATTGTTAATGATAACTATCAATACGATTGCAATTTGATATAAATAAATAATTAAATATTCTGAATGCTTTAAATTCCTAAGTCGCCTTCCATTCGCAAACAGGCACAAATAATATTAAAACTGTATTTGCAACTTATAGAAACGGACTTTTTATCAATGCCAACAATTTCGGCGATACTTACTGAGAAGAATATTTTCTTATTGAGTTAAGAAAATTTTATTTTGCCTATTGATGCGAGGTCGATTTAAGAACTATATGTCTAATCGTTGACCTCACATTATTACTGTTGAATTACATCCCGGTTTTAATTGCCTCTTGTGTATTTAGGTATCTAGGTTAACAACGCGTAAACTAAACATCGTGTTAACATGATGTACAAGCTTGCATTTTGCTGATTTAATCGTTGTACAATTCTTTTACATTAACCTGGTATTGCTTCATGATATGACTAAGTTACTGTTCTTTACGCTGAAGTACATCCCAGTTTTAATTGTCTTGTATTCTTATAATTATGTCTTCATTCTAAACTGGTAATGATCTGACCTTTAGGTTAATAACACGATGACTAAACATTATTTTAACATGAAGTACAGGCTTGCACTTTACTAATTTAATCGTTGTGCAATTCTTTTACATTTGTGGGACACGGTATCGCTTTGTGCGTCATCGTATGCCTGCATGCCCGGATTGGGAGGTGCGGCCGTACAACTCTGTGTTCAGCGATCGCACAAACAGTGGCCAATCAGTAGCTTCCGTTTGTTTAATCTAATCCCCCATCCTGACCATGAGTAGCTCCCTGTGTGAACACACTTTATCCGCGATGTACGTACTGAGTGAACGCGCTCCGTGCTGCACGTCTGTTTCCTTCATAGCTGGGCTATGGCTTACCTGGTTCTGGGAGTCTAGCTAGATGTTGGAGAATCTGCCATAAAGATTTCTGAGTCGGTCAGGCTTTACTAAAGTAGCAATATTTCTGAGTCAGTCAGGCTTTACTAGCGTAGCAATCCGTGGAGCTATAGCTTAGCTGTTCTGGGAGTCTAGCTAGGTGTTGGAGAATCTGCCATAGAGATTTCGGTCAGGCTTTACTAGCGTAGCAATCCGCTACAATGCAATCCGGTCAGGCTTTACTAAGGTAGCAATCCGTTACAATTCTCAACCGGTCTGGCTTTACTAAGGTAGCAATCCGCTACAAGTCTTTAACCAAGGCTTTACGAAGGTAGCAATCCGCTACATGTTCGAGACTTAGGGAGCAATCCGCTACAAGTCTACAAAACAATATACATAACTTAAGTAGCAATTCGCTACACATTAATCTGGCATTGTTTCATGATATGTCTAAACTACTGCTCTTTATGCTTGCTGAAATAGCTTAAAATATATCGTA